AAGGTGACTGTAGGGAAGGGAATCTGTTGAAGAAAACAGGTCGCAGAATTCAATCCTGCAGTGATGCGACATGCATCTATCCTGTACTCACAGGGGGACAGAATCAGCTGAGCCCCTCTCCAGAATGCCTCGCCCAGGGGCTTTACGTCACGGCAAGGGTGAGGCTAAGCAGCCTGACCTGCCAAGGCCTAGGTTCACTTATTCGACAAGCATCTGCATATTTGAGCACCTACAATGTGCTAGGCAGTGTGTGGAAAGCACACTTAGAGGTCATGGTAGGGGATAGAGCCAGCTCCCCAAGCAGCAAACAAATGCTCTGTGGCAGGCGTGTCAAAGTCATCTTCACCAGGGACCACATTGGCCTCGCGGTTGCCTTCAAAGGGCTGAAATAATTTTAGGACTGTATAAATGTAACTACTTAACTGTTAAGGAGCTGACATTACATTCTGCCTTTCAAAGGCAACCGTGAAACTGATGTGGCCCCCTGGTGAAAATGAGTTTGACGCCCCTTCTGTATGGGATGGACCCCCGCTTTGAGAGCACCTGGCAGAGTGGAGAAGTATGTGTGTGACAAGAAATATATTTATTCTCTGCACTTTAAATTAACTTAAAATTTACTTTAGCCAAGGCCAACAAAGATCTTGGACCTACTAAGTGCCTAACTATGTGCCATGGACAGAGAGACAAACACTTAGAAGACATAATGTCTGCCCCTTGGGGACTTATGGGTCTGTTGAACACCAAAAATACTTAGAGAAGAATTCAGAGTATGGGCCACAAGCTCATGAACTTGAAGAAGAGAGAGGCTAGTGTTGACCAAATAGGTAAAAGCAGAGGTTTGGAGTGCCAGACCCTCAAGGATGTGTGGTCCTTGATCCCCTGGGCCTTACTATTAATAGTCTCATTTCCAGGCCCAATCAAGGATGATGACCCTATCAATGATGCCACTGGCTAATAAACTTCCAGCTGTAAGTCCAGCCAGGGTCACTGAAACCAAACCATCCTTCTCAACTGTTGTCTGGTTCTCTGTGTCTACTTTTCCACGGAGAGACCAGTCCCCACATAGGCTGGATGAACCTCAGTAAAGGGAGGAAGGGGATTCCCAGATGTGGGGTGACAGCTAATATGGCTGGAGACACTACAGCATGACAAGCAGGACATTTGGGGAAGGGAAATGGTGAAGGGGTTTTTCTGATGGAGGTAGAATATCCATCTTTAGTTGAAAGGTAAATAAAGAAAAAGCCTCCAAGAAGGCTGAATGAAACAGTGTCTGGGGCCCGGTATAGACACCACCCCACTAGAATCATCTCAGTGCACGAACACCAGAGAGCCTTGGGGTGCCAGACTCTGACCAACTGAGCTGCATGGTCGTAAACAGGAAAGCCCTCATTAGGTCGAATAACTCAGTCCAAGAAGGTAGCATGGGATAGTTGTTGAGCCACCACTGATAGGCTGGTGATGGGAATGACAAATTAAACTGTGTCACTGATTGACATAGTCAGCCTTGATCTTTAGGCTTCCGACAAATCACAGTCTTGCATCCCTACCCTGAAAAATATCTTTCGCCCCCAAAGGCTTCCCAAGTGGTTGTTGACCAAGTGATTTATGAGAGCACTGAAGTCAGGAGAATCAGTATCAGAGGTCCCCTGGGCTTGATAAGAGAGCCTATAAAAAAGATAGGCTGGACAAAGTGCTAGGGCCCCGTCACCCATGCCAGGATAAAGACAGGTGATGCAAGAATTTGTGAAAGAGACTTACCTATCTGGGCTTTCTGCAGAATCAGCCCTGGTACTACTTGGTTTGGCCAATGGTGAGGAGTCACCAGATTCAATTTGCAAATAAGCTTTATTGCCAATAGTCTTATTTGCAGGGGCAAACTTTCAAGGCCATTGCCTTTTCAAGTACTACCACTTATTGGATGTGTGGCCCTGGGGGCAGTTACGTAATGCCACTAAGCTTAAGTTTCCTTCCACTGCACACAAGAAAGGGTAAGGCGATAATCTCTACTTCAAAGGCATAGTGTGTGGTGGGCCTTCTGGTGCACTGTGGGTCGTCACATGGGAAGCTCTCAGCAGACTAGCTCCCTTTTTCTTCTTCCACAAGGAGTTTTTAACTCCTTGTCAGTATCAGACATTCTATTGTGAGACACCCCAAATGAGAAGAGATAATCATGGTCTTCATACTAGAACTGTCTTTTAACTTCTATACAAAAATCTTAACTCCTCATTTCTATATAAACAGAGGATTTCTAGTTGGAGAGGGCATGGTACACCTCTGAGCTCGGACCAACCCATCGCCCTGATGCAACCACACTCTTGCTTTCTCCTACAAAACCCTCAAAAACTCTTAACTTATTTAAAAAAAAACCTCAACTCTTATAGTAGAATGATCCATGGAAACCCAGAGAACTACTATCAGCTCCCCTGAAGAGGGGGGATACCATGGCCTGGCCATAGCAGTACAAGGGCTGCCTGACCTTCCAAAACTCATGTATTTATTCAAACAATATGAATTAAGTAAGAGCGTGGGAAATATCAGGCCCTGTGCCAGAAGGAAGAGAGAATGAAAGTTAGAGTCACCTAGGGGACAAACAGACCTGGAGGAGTTACAGCAGAGTGTGACAAGAGCAATGATGAGCGAACTCAGGGAAGCTGGGGACACATTGCCCTTGCAGGGTGCTACATGAGAATCACCCCAGGCTGCCTGCCAAATGAAAGTCAGTATATCACTGGCTGGGCATACGAGACACACAGGAGCAGACACGTCACTCTTGGTTTCTAAAATACTGCCAAATCCTGGTTTGGAAATTCCCTTGTCTAGGGGTGGGAGGATTTCTTTGTTTGAGGTGCAAAGTGCTTAAAATTAACCATTTTAAACCAAGCGATTCAGTGGCAACTTAGAATATTCGCAGTGTTGGGAAACCACCACTTCTGTCTAGGTCCCAAGGCCGTTGTCATCACCCCAAGAAAACCCTGGACCCATCAGGCAGTTCCTCCCATTCCTCTCTCCTCCCAGTTCCTGGAAGCCCCCAGCCTGCCTTGTCTCTCTGGATTTGGGGTGGGAGGGTTTTCAAAGGAGGATTTCTCCCAGTTTCTGGTTCTTTGGCCTGTGTACTGTATTAATACTTAACTAGGTTCTGCAGAAACTGAGGCACAGCTTGCCACGGGAACCAAAGGAGTCAGAGTTCAAATTCCAGCTCCAGTCTCTTCATGCCACCTCTGATTCCGGTTTCCTTCTTTCTAAGCCTCAGTTTCTCAACCTATGAAATGAAGTTACCTACCTCACAGGACTATTTCAAATATCAAAAGAGAGAAAATCCCCATAGAACAGTAAGGGCAGCCCTGCCCCATCGGGACAGCACTGCCCCGATGAATGGTAGCTGTGTTATTTGCAGTTCTAAAAAGGTCAACCCGAAAAATAGTAAGTATATGAACTCACTATCTGCCAAGGTCTTCATACATGAAAGTCTCGCTACAAATAAAATTTTCTAGGAAATCTGAAGATGGGCTAACTCAACTCTATGCAGGAGTGGATAGAGCATGGTTTTAACATCAGACCGACCGCAGCTTCAGTCCCCATTTGACAATTGGCTGCTTTGTGACCTTGAGAAAATTATTGAACCTCTCTGAGCCTCATAACCCAACCACGAAATAGCAAAACCATCCATGTCATAAGACTGTCTTCATTAAATGTGAGTGTATCTACTCTGTGAGCTGGTGCTTAACTGGCTTTGTCCTCTCTCTCTCTATTCATCCCCCGATCCTCTCTCTTTCCCTGACCACCTGCCTCCCTGTAGAATCTGTGGCCGCACTGTGTATTTAGCACTTAGGTACTCGATGATACATGGATTATATTGTAGGTGTTTTTGTCCTCCAAGAGTTGGAATATAGCTATAGCATAGGGAGAGAAGACTGTCTTAGGTTAGGATCCAAGTCAAATCTTGGCCAGCACATTCTCTTTGGCCTGGATGTTTATATATATAAAAAATTAAGTCAAAATATGTTTTTAGGGGTATGCCTGCTTTGCACTTTGCAGACTCCCTACCACCTACATCTTACTCTGTCCCATTTATTTTACTTAGCTACATTCTCTGCCTGTCCTTTAAGCATTTGTGACTTTTGTTTTATTTAGGTTTTTGTTCCTTTCGTTGGGCCCAGCACACAGGTGATTCCTACCAAATTTTATACCTTGCCTCTTCCAAGATTATTCTATGTTCATCCCAAACACTTGTCAGTCCCAGGGACCCACCACAGTGTGACAACCATGCTGGAGTGTCGCAAAAGGGACTGAGCAAAATCACTTTACTTATATATCTACTTATTTATTTTACTAAATCAATTGTTTACTTTAAAAATTAAATTTAGTTTTATTTCATTATTTTTTCAAGGCACTGCCTCTGTCAGAAATCACCTGTATGTTGGAGCTACAGATTCAATCCTTGTTTTCAAGCCACCAAGAATGTTGATACCCCCAAACACTAGAAAGCACTGACTTGACTCCCGAGTCCCTTCCTAATGCTCACTCCTTAATTGCCCCTGAAGTTCGCCTTAGATCCAACTGTTGGTCTTGGCCCATAAAACAGATCCAGGTTCATCAGAACCTTTTCATCAGTCGGTCATTCGTCAGCTCTTACCCCAGGAAGGAGTCCAAGTCCTTGGTATAGATTGAGGGCACCGCCACCCCCCCCCCCCTCAAGCCCTCGGGGAAGCTATGGCGGACACTCAGACCCAGAAAAACAGGTCTCAGTTGTGGTTCACCTTCCCCCAGAGAAGCAGGAAAAAGAAAACTGGATCCATGCCCCACATTCCTCCTTCCACTGCCCGCTCCTCATAAGGAGGCTTTACAGGTGTCTCCCAAAGACCTGGGAGAGGAAGTGCTGACACGTGCTGGGGCGCAGCGAGCTCTAGACTCACCGGGGCTGGCCAAGGGCACCCTCTTGGCCTCTCCCCGCGCTCCCCGCGGACCCCCTGCGAAGCGCCCCCCCAGCTCAGTCCCCTTACCCTGGGAAGGGGGCCGCATCTCTTGGTGCTTCCAGCAAATGGGGCTTCCCGGCTGCGAGTCCTTCCTGGCACATGAGTCCCTGCTCTTCTGCCCTCACCCCTGCCTCCACCAGGCACAGGGTGGCGTCGGAGCACCCATGCAGGCGGCGGCGGGCTCAGAACGGAGCGCCTCGGGTCTGCCCTGCCCGCCCTGGCCGCAGTTAGGCCATGGCCGGCTCCCTAACGTGCTCGCCGGGGCTCCACTTCCTGGTTTTTCGCTCGCAACTGAAAGTGGAAGCGTCTGACCAGGAGGAAGGGAGCCGCGCTCGCCCCTGGCTGCTTTTCAAACGCTGCAACCCCAGCCCCCGAGGGCTGCCACAAAAGCCGGCCCACATGCACACAGCTCACCCTTTCCTCCCCTGAGCACCTGGAGACAGACACAAAAACGAACAGAAATGACACGAGGTGTCCCCTCGCACCACTGGTCTCAGAGGAGGGACGCTGCTCTCTGCTGGATTTGCGGAGCAGGGAGGTCCGGCCAGAGGCCCCTGAGCCCTGGGAGAACTCCCCGGACTGCAGGGCATTTCGGGGCCAGCCCTGGTGTCCCCCTCCGGCCCCAGCATACCTGCCCTGTCCCAGAAGCAGTTCTGATAAAGTCAACAAACACTCAGGCCAGGAAGGGCAGGGACAGGGATGGAAAGACTTTTTTTTTCTCCCTTTGACACACAGGCTCATCCTTTTCGTACCGCAGACTTTACATCCTGCTGCTTCCCTCACAGCCCAGAGGAAAAATGGAAACATTTTAAATCACAGGACTAGACAAGCACATGTACCGTAGACTGTCAGAGTGACCCCACACCTAATAGCTTCTGGAAAACTCCACCCTACACACAAGAGACCGTAACACAGGAAAAGGCAAATAATGTCTTCATATGTGTTATTATAACGTTGTTTTTGAATATTCAGACCCCCTGACAGGGGCACGGGGACTAGTTTACAGGTATCAGGACCCGTCACAGTCTCACTGGATTCACCTACGGCTGTGGCCACAGAGGGGCATGGGAGCCTCCATTCTTAGATTATTTTAAAATTAATTAATTAATTTTTTAATTACTTTTCAACTACAGTATTCTGTCTTCCATTCTTAGATTTAGAAGCAGAGATAACAAGTTTTCCTTCCCCTTCTCAGCCACATTCTTTCCTCCCACCTCACTGACACCCCGAAAGTAGATGGCATTTTCTCCAACCAGCCCGTCACTAGAGCTAGATTAGGATGTCTTCTCTCTACAAGAGAGGAGATCCTAAAAATCTCCAGCTAAAACCTGCTGGGTGAGCTGTGCCGCTGTCTCAGAGAACATGAGTCGGCCCCATGGCCTCACAGGAGCACAACCTGACATTAGAGAAACACGAAGTGCGGGAAGATGAGGGCGGCCCCCTGCCATTCCATCTTCTGGGGCCTCTCAAGGCTGGAGGAGCACTTGGCTTTGCTTTGTTTCAGCAGCTTGGCTCCCCAAGAAGAAGCTTCCTCCAGGGGAGGGTGGAGGATGGCCAATGGGTGTCTTGTCTCAGCCACTCTAATGCTGCTAGCGCTTCCCTGGGTGCTGTTTTCTATTCCCAACTGGATGAAGAGCTCAGGGCCAGGACAAGATGAGCCTCCCTCTCCCTCTCCCTCTCCCTCTCCCTCTCCCTCTCCCTCTCCCTCTCCCTCTCCCTCTCCCTCTCCCTCTCCCCTCCCCCTCCCCCTCCAACTGAATACTCAAGTTCAGGAGATTCTGAGGCATTCTAAAGTTCTGCCAGACTTGCATTCCTATTCAATCTTCTGTGCACATGAGTGATAATCCCAAGATACGAAAGAGTAACAGAAGGTTTGGCAATCTGCAAGAATTCTGCACCATCCAGCAGCCTATAGTAACAGACCAGTTAGGACTCAAACCCTTGCCACATCATCTCAGCTATACAGCTCTGGTCATGCGGTTTAAGCCCATCACACATCATTTATTCATGAAATGCAATACTACCTACCTCCCAGGAGGTGGTGAGACAATGAGATAACGCATGTTGCATACCTAGTAGAGACCCCAGCATCTAATAAAATGTCTGCTAAGCTTCCCTTCTCCTTCTTTCTTCCAGATGGGAATCCTTGCCGTCAGCAGCTGATGAATGCCCTTTCTAACCATAGTGACACAGAATGGAAGAGGGAGACCCATATCCTGCCTTTGTCTATAACCCTTGGAGGTTTGAAGTCTGTTTTGGTTGCATGTAGTAAAATGAATAGCTTTCTCTTCCAAGCCTAATTCCTGTTAATGTTCAGGTTGCCCTGATGTCTCTACTCGGTTTCCAATGGACTTTTCCTTTCTTGTTCCTCCCACACAAGTCAGCTGAGATGACTACTCAACCAAATGTAATTTCATGTCCAAAGAGCCTTAGGCTGAGAATGGACGAGTGTCCCACCTTCCTCCCCGCAACGACTCCCAACCCTGCTCTCCTATAGACGCGTACACTCTGGAGCAGGCAGAGTTGGGGCAGCTTACCACGTAAGGATCCTCTCCCTTCCTGGGTGGAGGAAAGGCACCCCTCACAGCTGGCTGTCCTACTTCAGTACCACTGTCAGCCACTTCTGCCTTTGTCACAGCTCAGGGATGAGGCCACACCTGAAGCCAATGCGTACTGCTCCAAGAGTGGCCCACAAGCTACCCTGGAAACTTTGAACCTGTTGCAATAGTTCAAAGGTAGAAGTTACCTGTTCAAACACTTGTAGTCACCTCTGCCAATGAGAAGTGTAGGATCTGGCAAAAGGTAAAAACAGGAGATTCTTATGCAATGGGCTTAAGAGGAAGGGGAAAAAAAAAGTCCTCAGCTAAGAAAGCTAACATTTAATAAGCAAACCCCCTTGTAGAGGCCATACCTCTGGGAAAGAGAGGGGGAGATAGGGCTTTACATCTGCTTGGGGGGGCAGAATCCTTGAAATTGCCCTAGGAAAAGAAAGATCTAGAGAGCAAGCAATAGGGAAAAAACACTCCCTGAATTCAGAGTGAGAGAAAAATGAGAAGTCACTCTACTTGTTACTCAAGCTCTAACTTTAAGGTTCCAATAAGCAGAGGCCTTTAGTCTTCTTCTAGAAGGAACTAGTGGCCCCTCCAGAATTAAAACGTCTCTGAACCACCAAGAAAGGCAAATCACTCTAAAGTCAAGACTGAGGCAACAGCCTCGTTAGGTTGTATTTAGAATGCAGAACACCCACGGCTTGGCAAGGTCCTGGAAGGAGCAGGGCTGCCATTGCATCACTGTTCAGCCTAACCTATTCTCTTTTTCCATTTCCATCTCAATCCCAGTATCTTGAAGACTACAAGCCATCATCACTGAACAAAAATGGGGAGTGGAGGTAAAAAGAGTACCTGGAGATTGTTTAATCTCTATTTTACAGGTGAGGCCAATGAGGCCTTTTCCAGTGAAAGAAATAGCTCAGAATCACACAAGCAGAGATAAGACCTGAGCCCAGGACAGAACCACTGTGTTTCCTCTGCCCCATTTGGTGCTGCATCTCTGGTGAGTGTTTATGTAACCACCAGCAGAACTTAGACACTTGAACACTTGCTGGGTATCAGGCCAGCAGAAATTCGTGGAAATGCTGCATTAGCTTTCTTTTAATTGTAATTGGTCAGGTGGCCAATATGAAAATTAGAAGCCAATACCACTTCCTGCTGCCTTCTGCGTGGAAGAGTGGCTACCACATTAACAAAGAGGAATTATTGGGTCAAATTCTCATCCAGGTCTCAGGTGCATTAGCTCTTTAAGGTCACTTCTCTCCACAGAGCCCCAGCCTTGCCTTGGTACCTGAAAGAAAAGGGCTTCTAAGAAGTAGCTAAAGAAGATACAGTTCAGCGGGAACTGGGAGCATGAGTCCCACTCGACTGGACCAATGCAAGTTGTAGTTAAGTTGTAAACACCTTCTGATGCCACACTTACAAGAACAAAATGCTCCAAGCCTGTGGTTCCCAAACTTCAGCATCACAATCCCTGGGAGAGCTGGTTACAGCACAGATTACTGGGCCAGTGCCAGAGTTTCTGGTTCAGTGGGCATGCAGTAAGGCCTGGGGATCAGCATTTCTAACATTGCCAGGTTATATGGATGCTGCTGGTCTGGGGACCATACTGGGAACTCATTATCAGCATCACTGCTTTAAGCAGCCACCCTACCTTCAATGTACTCAACTACTGGCATGTTCAAGGAACAGTGTTTGGGGAGGTCTTGGCTATAGTAACCCTGGAATTGGGAGGATAACTTGACACAGAGTAGAACTCACTACCTGCAGTACACAAGACCAGCAGGTAAGCCAAGTCCCAGAATAGTGCTTTGGCAATGGCAGGAGGAATTGCTACTCATTGTCCTACTCCTTTATGTGAGGGTAAATCAAAGCCTCAAGACATCATAGGTAGACAACCCATTAGTGGGTACAAGTGTAGGGGTGTAAAGAGCATCACCTGATCCAATAGCCTTAACTTTATTCTCTTTAAGAGAACAAAGAAAGGAGGGAAAAATACAAGGAGAGTAACACTGATATGAGAGAGACACAGCAATCGGTTGCCTTTCTTACACGCCTGGACTAGGGATCGAACCTGCAACCTAGGCATGTGCCCTGACCTGGAATCAAACTGGCAACATGTTGCTTTGTGGGATGATGTGCAACCAAGTGAGCCACACCAGTCAGGGTGCCTTAACTTTACTTTTGAGGGTACCCAAGACCCAAGAAGGTGAAGCAGCTAGCTACAGTAAGCTGTTGGTTCTTTGTGGGGAGAGTCTGAACCCTGGTCTTGAGCACGCAGCGTGCTACACCATCCCTTGATAAACCGCCATTTCCTGTAGTATCTCTCTTTAAAAAAAAGTGTTACATAGGCTTCTTTGAAACACCCATTTGCCCTGCTATCCTTCCAACAGCCATATTCACTTAGAATTCAATTTAAAAAATCCTTCTTTTGAGATTGGGCATCATGTAGCCCCTAAAAAGTGCAAAACTTCATTCTTTCCAGGTCTTTCATGGGTCAGGTGCCCGAGGTGTTGAAGGGTCTGACCCACAGCGGCCGTTCTGATGCACTTTCACATGCTGTTCTGGTTGCTTTGTGTACGTCCCCCCCTTTCCTAGAGAAGGAGGAACCACACGTGGCACAAGCCCCAGTTCTAGAAGACCAGGGACCCGCGTTTCAGAATTTTGTAACTGAGCCAGGAAACAGTCAAGATACTTATGATAGGGGCTGACGGCCCTTCAGAAGTGAAAACCAGGTTTTCTCCATTTTTGAAAGCAGAAAAGGACAGACCTCGGGAGTGAGTAAAATTTTACCTAAGACGACTTTGCGTT